CGTAGCTATATCAAGAAATACAAAAGTAAAACTCTACAAAACAATAATACGCCCAGTCCTAACATATGGTTCAGAAACCTGGACTTTAACAAAAAGCAATGAAAACGTGTTAGGATATTTCGAAAGAAAAATACTGAGGCGAATCTATGGAGCGGTAAATGAAAATGGTGTCTGGAGAAGACGATACAACTTCGAACTCTATAGAATATACCAGGAACCAGATATCGTAAAACACATTAAGATAGGACGTCTGAGGTGGGTAGGCCATGTAATGCATATGGAGCAAACCAACCCAGCTAGAAAAACGCTCCTTGATAGACCTATTGGTCAAAGAAGAAGAGAGAAGACCCAGAACAAGATTCCTAGATAACATAGACCAAGATATGAGAAATATGGAAATACGTGCTTGGCGGAGGAACTGGCACTAGCATACAGGGTTGTAAAGCCAAAATAATGATGATGTATTTATTTCGTAGCTGTGATCCCAAGTATCCTTAATATTGCAGACCAAATGCATTTGTAATCAAATAATAATCAAATCGCCTATTGTAATTTGGGCGTTTATATTTTTGTTATTACTAATAATCATTATTTTTGTCTATATATTTCTATTTATATTATTTTTGTCTATATTGTGTATATATTTCTACCACGTTATCCATCATCCTTTGGAGTCCCTGAGCACTATCTGCCAGCAACACTGTATGTGTGCATATTTAATATTGTACAAAAGTTGGCCATTTACAGCAATCCATCTTCTGATTCGTCCAATGCCTATGTAAAGATGTTTTCAGAGTATATGTAACCCTTTCTAACTCCTTTTTCGACTGTGAAGGTCTCAGACAGATTATTTTCTAATCGCATTGCCTCTTTTAAGTTTGATATAAGTTTGAGATCAGTCTTATATCCTTACCATCGAGTCCTGATGTTTTTAGGATATCGATTATTTTCCCATGTGAGACTCTATCAAATGCCTTCTCGAAATCATGAAACATGCAAACACATCGCAGTTGACAAACCTGACTCTCTGTATTAGGACTTGCAAACTAAAAAGTGCTTCCCCGTTCCGATCCTGCTCTGAATCCAAATTGAACTTCACTCAGGTGTTCTTCTAACTTCGTGTATATGCGCGAGTGACTGATGGAAGTACTTTAAGTACATGGCTCATCAAATTAATTAATCAATGTTCTTCACATTTTCTAGAGTTGGCTTTTTTAGGAAGTGGAATGAATATTGATAGTAGCCAGTCTTTTGGTAAGTAACCAGTCTCGTAGATGTTGTTGAATAGCTTCGTAACAGCTGTGATTTTGTTTGTCTCTAATCGCTTTAAAATTTCACCATGCACCTCATTAGGTCCTGGTAATTTTCATCTTTAATCCGCTTAATGGCCATAGTTACTTCTTCGTTTGTTATTTCTGGGTAGCGATTGTTTATTTCAGTCGGATTTCATGCTGCATCTTAGAATAATTCTTGCATATATTCTTTCTATCTATTTCAGGCTTCGGTTCTTTTATATTATTTTTTCTACCATGTTTTTATTAAAAGTCCTTAAATCTTCCTTTACTCCCTTCTTTATTTGTTTATTCAATTCTTTGAAACCATTGGTGTTTCGCTTTCCTTCGCTTAGAAATGTGCGTCTCTTTTCTATCAACCATTTTGTTCCATCACTTATTCTGTCTTCTTTTATTTTTCGTTTTATTTGCAACAGTCAGTCCTGCTTTCAAGAGCTTTCGTTGCATTTCTTTATTAATTATGTTCATGTCGGAGTATTCTTGTTGATAATGTTCTACAAATTCTTTTCTTAAGACTTCTCTGTACTCATCTCCCTTCTATCGTATTTTAGTTTGATCTGTCTGATTACAATAATTATGTACTCTGTTTCTACTGGTTTTCGTCTGTTTAATATGAATCCTTGCTCTTAAAAGGCGATGATCACTGTCATTTGTGAATCAATTGAGAGCAATTATATCTATTTGTTTCCACATAAGAAGTAATCGATCCCGTTTTTCGTATTTTTATCGGGAGATATCTACGTTCATTTTCGATTTGCTGGTTTCTTGAAGTGTTTGTTCATGGCATATAAACTTTGTTGTTCTAAAAAGTTATAAAATTTTTCTCCTCTTCCATTTCGTGTTGTTGTGGGAGCATTTATTTGTATAACTTGATCTTGGTTTTATTATCTAGGTCTATTATAATATAAGCTAATGAAAAGAAACGCTTTTATATGTAGAAATATATGGTGTGAGATACTTTTTGACAAGAAATCCTGCTCCAACATTCTTTAACTATTATGATGGGTAAAATCGAAGGACGCAGAGGAATTGGTAGAAAGCAAGCCTCTTGGTTGAAGAATATCAGGGAGTGGACAGGAATAAGGAAAGCTGAGCAACTCTTTAGAATCGCTCGAGACAGAGACAGTTTCGCCATGTAATCGCCAACGTCAAGGGGACTTGATAGGGCACGTTAAGAAGAAGTATGAGCGATTTTTGGAGTTTAGATGCATGCATTGTTCGCCTCTTCTTTTCATTTCTGACAGTCCTACAATATCCCACTTTATCTTGGATATTTCTTCTTCTAATTCGTAGACCTTTTTATCTTTAGTAGAATTACAGTAGTATATGTTTTTGTTTGTTCGTATCTATTTTGGCGCGTTTTGTTGAGCTTGTGCCTTCCCCAGAATCCGTGAGGCTGACCGGTTTTCGTTGTGGGATTCTGAGCTACTAACTCTACCCACCTGGGTTATCGTCCTATTTTTGTTTCAAGTTCAACATGTTGTGTTTTGTGGGGTATATTGGCATTAAAACACCACGCTTGCCAGACGGGTTGTTAAGTGTTCGTGGTATCACAGCCGGTTAAATCATTATTTGATTTTTGCCTGCGACTTTGTGGTACCGCTCCTATCAGGAATTGTATTTCTTAGCTACGGGCTACTAATGACACAGCTGCTGAACTGTGTCATGTCCTCCGTTGATCCGCGGGTACTTATTTGGTGAAGCCTTATTCATGCCTGTCCTGCATATCTACAGGAACGTTCCCTATCAGCCATTGGGACGCGCCGAGTCGGGCTGAGGACTTCCTCGCGCTCTTCAACTATTTTCGCAAAATTCCTATTAATTCCTGTTTTTACTTTTTTCTGGTTGTTATTTTCTTTTAGTAGTCTTATCGTATCTTATAGTATCTATCTTGGGTGTCATTTTCTTATGAATTATTTTAAGTCGTATGTTGTCATTTGCAACCAATTGACTATGATCTGAAAAGACATGTGCGCCCGGATATGTTTTTTGGGTGATAGAATTTCTACACCTTTGTTTATGTTGATAAATCAATTTGGTTTTTATGCTATTTCCTTGAGGTATTACCAGGTGCTTTCCATGTATAAAGTCTTCTTGAGTGTAAGTTAAAAAGTGTATTGGTTACAACCATATCCGTCTCTTGGCAGAATTGGATCAGTCTTTCTCCTTTTTTGTTTCTTACGCCAAGACCATATGACCCCATGCCATTCTCGACTTACCTTGTTCTATTAAGGCATTGGCAATCGCCCATGATAATAGTAAGTTCAGGTTTGTTTGGTCAGTTTTAGAAAGTTTTCTAGAGTATAATATAAATTTTCCATTTCTTTTTCAATGAGTTCTGAGGTCGGTGCGTAGACCTGAATAAGTTTATATTAGAGGGACTTGAGGTAATTATCAATAGCATAACTCTGTCTGATATAAGCGTAAATCCTATTACTGCTTTAGCTATTTCCCTTTTTACTATTATCGCTACGCCATTTTTGTTTCTTGTTGTGTCGTATCCAGAATAATAGATATAGTGTTCATCTATAATTCTTATTTCAGAATTTGGCCCTCGAACTTCACTGCATCCTAAAATATCAATGTCAGGCAATGTCATTTCTTGAATACTATTTGCTGTTTTGTCTGTTTGGTACATGCTTCGAATGTTCTATGTAATGATTCTTTTAACTTTTGGGACATTATTAGCTGACCGGGGATTCTTACCAGCCTCTACCCACTTAAAGGGGTGCCCGGGATTGAGGGCCTTTTTGTTTTGGATTTTCAGCCATTGTGGTATGCTGAGGATATCCTTAGGGATCTTTAATGTGGTAGTCATCCCGTGGCTTTCCACATCTCAATGCCGTTAGCTAATTTAGCTATTCCGCCTTTGGACTCATTTCTCAGTCCATGAAGTGCCTACCCGTGTCAGTTCTTCCACCGTAGCTGTTAACCACAAATGGGGATTATTTTACAGTAATTTTTGGTTACTTCGCAGTATCACAACTGGTTAAATCATAATTACCGTCTGTGTTTATTCAGGATCAGACCTGTAAAGCGATTTTTCTCTACCGCTCCGATCCTGTAATGACATGCTCTTCGTTGATCTGCTGAATGTTTATTTGGCAAAGCCTTATTCACACCTGTCCCACATATCTGTATGACGTTCCCTATCAGCTATTGGGACGCGCTGTGTTGAGGTTGTACCTACTCCCTTCGAGTGTGTTTTCCAAGAAGTACTAGAAGAGCTTCTACTCAATTTAGAACCCTCTTCCTTATGGAAACTACACTAGCACAGCAAGAGATCTAAGTGGTGTAAAAATATTATCCCTAGTCACAAAAATCTAATCTAATACAAATATAGATGAATAAGTTAACAGGTGCCATATATAGTTATTAGTGCTGGCTACAAGATACAATATCTTCAGTCTTATTTCTAGTTCTAAACCTAGCCCTTGTACTATCCAGTAAGTATGTCTACTACTTGAATATAGAAATTTCTTCATCATTTTCACTCTTTCGTCTAGAACATGCACATTAACTACAAATTTCATTACATCATCAACCCAAAAAGCTTTGTCTTGTTATCGAGACATGACGATAAATTGTTTAAAATGATACAATATCAAGATCCATATTAATAATGACAAGATAAATATTTAAAATATATTTTTATTTTATATAAATAAATCAAATACAATTTAAATCTTCGTATATATTGATATTTTGTTACCAGTAAACTATGGAGGATAAGGAATGTCTTGTTAGATGAATATTTATTTGTCCTCTGTTCTTATTTCTGTCAATTATAGCTACATCCATATCATAATCTTTTCTAAAAATCATTTAAAATGTTAATAAAATGTGGAAATTAACACCATATTAATGTTTTCAAATATAAAAAAGATATAAATAATGGGTGTCCCATAATTAACGTACGATTTGAATTAAATATTAAACACTGTTTTTCTTCTTTATATTTTAATTTTTTATTAAATTTTAATATTTTTATTAGGGTACATAGGATAGGTTTATATGTAGAATAGCAGATCAGACAAATGGCCTTCACGGCTTTACTGGTACATAGGCACCCATTTGTCGAAATTTTTCACGACTATTTTGCATAAATGTAGCTGAATGTCGTTGATGCAGGTTTTAAGTTCCTTCTTGAATGCACGGGGGTTGTAGGCTTGTTGGCATAGACCTTTAACTTTAAATAATCCCGTAAAAAAGAAATATCATCATCATCATTCTGGCTTTACAACCCTACGTGGGTCCTAGCCTCCTCAATAATTTCTTTCCATTCGTCCCTATCCATCGCCTTTCTCCGCCAACCACGTATTCCCATATTTCTCAAGGAATTGGAAGGTTATGAAGGAACCTTGTTCTAGGTCTTCCTCTTCTTCTCTGGCCAATAAGTCTATCAAAGAGCGTTTTTCTAGCTGCGTCATTTTGTTCTATCCACATTACATGCCATATCCAACTGACACGTCATATCTTAATATATCGATATCTGGTTCCTGATATATTCTATAAAGGTCGAAGTTGTATCGTCTTCTTCACACTCCATTGACATTTACTGCTCCATAAATTCACCTTAGTATTTTTCTTTCGAAACATCCAACATGTTTTCCTAAGGAGCGCTCCCAGGTATACAAATTCGTTCACTGCTTCGATGACGTCGTATTCTATAACAAGTGGTCGTAGTATTTGTGGTTGCGTACTTATTTTCATATACTTCGTTTTGTAAGTCTTTATTATTAAACCTATTTTTGTAACTGATTCTTTTAATGCTATGCTAAATGATTCCAAGTAACTTTTGACAATTTTGAGTAAGAGTCACAAAACCAATAAAGAGTGTGTTAAGATTTGATAAAATTTAAAAGAAGATACAAGTTAATAATGAAAGAAATGGAGGAAATGGAAAATGGAAGAAATCGAGAACAAAAACTAAATAAAAATGCTAACATCTTACAGTAGACAAATAATTATGACCGAATAAATTATTACAAAACTTATTCTTCCTTCTTCTCTTCTTCTTCCTATTTATAAGCAATTCTGCTTGTTCATTGGCGGATTAATACCACTATGGAAGGATGTCACTCCATCTTTTGCGCGGACGTCCGATACTTTTGCCGATTGGTGACTTATCTCTTGCTATTTTGACGACAAGGGTCTCCTCCATTCTGCTTATGTGGGTATTCCATTCTTTTTTTCTATTTTGTGTCCATTCATGTATAGACCGTACGTTACATTTTCTTCTAATATTTTCACTTTTCTTTCGATCTCCCGGCGTATTTCCTGTAACTCTTCTCAGTACTGTCATCTCTGCCGCTTCCAGTAGTCTTTGCGTTGTGGCTGTGTCGGGTCTTGTTTCTGAGGCATATACCATGATTGGTCTTACACTGGCTTTATAAATTCCTAACTTCATCTCAGCGTTAATGTGTCTGTTTCGCCATATAGTGTTATTAGGGCATCGTGCCAGTCTATTTGCTTTTGATCTTGGTCTCTCACTTCTTTCTTCAAGTCTTTATAGCTAGACAGTGTAATTTCCAGCTATTTTATTTACATTACTTGTTCAATACTGATGCCATCAATTTCTATTTTACATCTGGTTGGTTCTTTGCTGACTACTATTGTTTTAGTTTTCGGAGACAAATTGTCATATTAAATTCTTTTGCTCTTATGTTAAATCTGTGGACCAGTCTTTGTAGATTATCTTCATCTTGGGCTATCAATATTTTGTCATCTGCGTAACAGAGTACTTTGATTTCTTTGTTTGCCATTCTATATCCTCTTCCTTTGTTAACGGTTTTAATAAATTCATCCATGATCAATCATATGAGAGGAAGAGGTAAAGGGAAGCATTAAGGAAATTATAAAATAGAAATATCACTAAAAAACTATTAAAACTAATTCAAAAAATAATATTACCAAACAGAATTCCTCAAGAATGGAGATCAAGCATCCTAATACCTCTCTTCAAAAGGGGAGACAAATCGGATCGAAAAATTACAGAGGAACTAATTTATTAAACACAACACAAAAATTAACAACAAGTGATAACAAATAAATTGAATAAAATTATAACACTAGCAGAAAAACAACAAGGTTTTAGGTCGGGAAGATCATGCACCGACGCTATATTTATAATGAAGCAAATGCATGAGAAATCATTAGAATACAACAAACCGGCATATCTAGATTTCGTGGACCTTACAAAGGCATTTGACCGGGTCAAATTAAACGATGTTATCCACTTACTGTAAAAAAAAACATGTACACAGTATATTGGATATTAAGCAAATATCAGAGAGGGTGATATACATAATAATTTCACTGAATAATAGATACAAAATGAAAGTTGTACAATGTTATGCTCCAACATCAGCACATGAAGAAGAAGAAATCGAAAACTTCTATGAAGATTTAACAACAGCATTATCGGAAACAAAATGTCATTTTACTTTTCTTATGGGGGATTTCAATGCCAAGGTAGGAACTCAAATTGATGATGCAGAGACGGCAATAGGAAAACACGGTTTAGAAGGTCGAAATGAGAGAGGCCAGACACTATTAAATTTTCTTCATAACCATCAGTTATATTTGATGAATAGCTTTTTCCAAAAGAAGCCACATAGACGATGGACATGGGTAAGCCCAAATGGAAACGTAAAAAATGAAATAGATTTCTTCATAACAACACATAAAAGATATGTCAAAGATGTCACAGTATTAAATCAGTTTGGCATTGGTAGCGATCATCGAGCAGTGAGAGCTACAATACAGTTAAACTTAAAAAATGAAAGAACAAGATTAATAAAAGAAAGAGAATTGAAAAAATAGAGTACACCAGAAAACACAAAAGAATATGTGAAAGCTATAAATCGGGCCTTAAACCACCCTCTTTCGACAGATGTTGAAACCGTAAATAATGCAATCACAGAAGCGTTAATGACTGCACAAAAACAGTACTGTGCTAGACCAGCCGGAAAAGAAGAGAAACTGAGCGAAAACACCAGAAAGCTCATTAAAGAAAGAAAAATCAAGAGATCAGAGCAGAAAGGCGACTCAGCTGAACTCAGAAATCTGAACAGAGATATCTCAAAAGCAATTCGTAAAGATCAGAGGAAGTATAATACTGAGAAAATACAAAATGTGATTGAGCAAAATGGAAATATGAAAATACTCAGAAGAAAGCTTTGTGATGGTAAAAAGGAAATTGTTAAACTAAAAGACAAGGAAGGTAATATAACAACAAATAGAGAGAGAATAGTAGAGATAGCAAAAAGCTTCTATGAAGAATTATACAAAAGCCAGTTAACAGAAGAAGACAAAACACAAATTAGAGAACGCAGAGTAATGAACCAAGGATCCGAACTTCTGCCTACCATAACGATAGAAGAAGTGAAACGAACTCTAAAGGAAATGAAAAACAACAAGGCTCCGGGAGATGACCAAATAGTAATAGAAGCTGTTAAAGTAGGAGGCAAGAAACTGCTGGAAGTAGTAACTGAACTATTCAACCTATGTCTAAACCAAGGTATTGTCCCTACAAAATGGAACAATGCAATTACTATCCTAATACACAAAAAAGGAGATATATCAGACCTAGAGAATTATAGACCGATAAGTCTGTTGTCACATCTCTACAAATGGTTTACCAAGATCATCACAAAACGTTTAGAACGAAAATTAGATTTCTATCAGTCTAAGGAGCAAGCTGGGTTTAGGAAAGGTTATGGAACAAATGACCACCTACAAGCACTTAAAATACTAATTGAAAAATGTGTTGAATATAATAAACCACTCACGTTGATTTTCATAGACTTCAAGAAAGCTTTTGATACCGTGGAATTACCGGCAGTATTAGGAGCATTAGAACAAAGCCGAGTAGACTATAGATATACAAATTTGATAAAACATATATACAACAACGCAACAGCATCTGTTAAACTCCATGACTTTACCGATAAATATAGAATTGAGCGAGGAATTAGACAGGGCGACACCATCTCCCCCCAACTATTCACTGCAGCTCTGGAATATGCCTTTAAAAAACTAGATTGGGCTAAAAGGGGAATAAATATTGATGGTGAATACTTAAGCCACTTGCGCTTTGCAGATGATATTGTCATTATAGCCGAGAGTTTAAATGAAGCTCACAAAATGATGGAAGAACTAAAACAGGCAATAGAACAAATAGGCCTGAACATAAACTTTGAAAAAACAAAATACATGACCAATTTAGTTCCAAGTGATGTTATGAGGGTAGATGGGAACGAAGTACATCAGGTCTTTAGCTATATCTATTTAGGGCATGAAATTAGAATAGGAAAAGACAATCAAACTTGTGAGATCCAGCGTCGCATAGGCTTGGGATGGGCAGCATTTGGCAAGATGCGAGATATTCTAAAAGGAACGCCACCGATTTGCTTGAAGAAAAAGGTTTACAACCAATGCATACTGCCAGTAATAACATATGGTTCCGAAACAATAACCTTAACCAAACATTCTGCAAATAAATTGAGAGTAACCCAAAGAAAAATGGAAAGAGCAATGTTGGGAATAACTAGAAGAGATATGGTACCAAATAGGATAGTGAGAGAGAGGACTAAAGTGACAGATGTCATAGAAAAAATTGCACAAGCCAAATGGAGATGGGCTGGACATATAGCACGTTTAAATGATAATAGGTGGACCAAAAGACTCATAGAATGGAGACCTAGAAAAGACAAAAGACCACCAAAAAGATGGATGGACGACTTGAGAAAAACAGTCGGAAATTGGATACAGAAGGCGCAAGATAGAGAACAGTGAAAGAACATGGAGGAGACCTATATCCAACAGTGGATGCAAGAGGTTGAAGAATGATGATGATGATGATGATCCACTTACTGTATGCAAGAGAGATACCCCTAGGAATAATCAAAACGATCGAAAATATCTACCAAAACAACACAATAAAAGCAAAAGTAGAAGAAGAACTAACCGACCCTATTGAAGCTTGAAATGGGATAAGGAGGATTCCCTGTGTCCTCTATTGTTTAACCTGATTACGGATGAAAACTAAGAACAAAAAAAGGATACCAAATCGGAGAAAAACAACTTAAGATAATCTGCTGTGCAGACGACACAATACTACTCGCTCAAACTGAAGATGATTTACAACGTATGCTGCATCAATTTAATATAACCGCCAGAAAATTTAACATGTTAATTTCCCCAACAAAGACAAAATGCATGGTTACAACACCAAATTTACTAAGATGTAAACTGGAGCTGGAAGGTCAGATAATAGAACAAGTTTAAATATTTAGGCATCACATTATCTAGCTACGGAAAGCTTGAAACCGAAGTGGAAGATCAATTGAATAGAGCAAACAGAGCCACAGGCTGCCTAAGTGAAACAATATGGAGAAATAAAAATATCGGGAAAAAAAACGAAAGGCAGAATTTACAAAACAGTCATCAGACCAATAATGACATACGCGGCAGGAACAAGACCTGACACAGAGAGGACAACAAAAATGTTAGAAACAGCAGAGATAAAAACACTTCAAGAAAAATTGACAACTCAATGAATGACAACTTACTGGAGGCACATTGAAAAACAGACAGAGTCATGTCTATATAAAAAGAAGAAGAAGAAGAAGATCAAATGAAAGAGCATGGAGCTCAATGAGTCCCCTTGTCTTATTCCGCTGTCTATTTTTATAAGTTCTGTCAGTTGTCCATCTATTCTGACTTTTCATTTTGTTGTTTTCGTAGATGTTTTCGATAGTTTTTCTAAAGACCCAGAAAATGGATTACATCTTGTTGTCTTACTCTACCAAACCCTTTTTTTAAGTCGATCAGACACATAAATGCTGGTCTATTTTACTCTAGTGATTTCTCAGGAATTAGCTTTCAAACAAATAATGCATGTGTACAAAATCTTCCTTCACGAAAACTCTGTTGTTCATCTGCTAACCTTATATCTGATTTATTAGCACTTTTAGTTGTAAGTTTTAGCGTAGTATTTAACAAGTTTATACCTTTGTAGTTTTCTGGCATTTTTTCACATCTCTTTTTTTTGAGTAGTAGAATTAGTTCGCTCGTTCTCCATTCTTCCGGTATTTTAATGAGTTTTATAATTTTATTAATAATTAATGTTGTTAGATTGTTCTATCATTGCTGACGAAACTTATTAACAGATATAATTACTTACGTATTAGCTATTAGTATTGCAATTCCACCGTCCGGTCTTCTAAACGCTACAGTTGTTTTAGCCAAGTCGTATTGAGATATTTCAATAACCTTGGATCCTGGAGGCACAAATTTTGAAAAATGACCCATAGCATAAAAGGTGGGCTGCTTATAAAATTCTCCAGCAGTTTTATTCACAATAATTGGAGAATCGGCATTGGAATTGTATTTGGAAGGACCGCCTACTAAATCCAACGCCATGTTCCAGTCTATCCAACCGGTAACCCAGTGTTGCAAATTCTACAAAAAATCTAAAATTAAGATTAACCCAAATATCTTCTCCTATTGTATCCTGATTTCTATTTTTCATTATATTTCTTAAAATTTTTTTTTATCTGAAATTTACCCCCTTCCCTCCTGTGTTCTGAAATGTAGTTAAACAATAGCTTATTTTTCCATCTCACAGTCGTTTGTCGAATGATATGGCCTGCAAGTTTTATTAAATTTATTTTTAAATAATTTGCTTTTTTTTGTAAACATGTAAAACATATTTGATGTACTTATTAGAAAATTATTATTCTTTTTATTTTCCATCACAATTTTACTAAGTTATAGATATTAAGTTTGAAAAGAATTTAATTTTAAATTGCCCAAAGTACTATTTGCCCCCTAACTTAAATAAAAACAATAATAGTAATACTTTTTCATATAATAGCACGAATCCATCTTTTTCTTTTCTCTAATTTATATATGTAATCTTTGGAAACCTATAAAAACTACACTCACTATTTTTGCTATTATTAGCACAATTAAATACGCAACATATATTTGCACCCATTTTTGATAAAATTTATACGTGAAAGATAGGTCCAATTTTGTCATATTTCGCCGCTACGCACGCTGGCATCGTTTCAAGGTACCCCTACCATGGTTACGTACGGAGCGAATAAGATACCTGTTAAAAAACACATGATACTTTAATAATTATATTGGTCTTAGATTTAATTAATTAATTATGTGCTTAAATAAATAATTAAAATTTTTTTTGGTACGCCTCTGAAAAATTGATAAGTGGAATATGATTTCGTTGAAAAGTTATCGTTAAGGGCTTCGTTAAGTGCGATGTTGCTAAGTAATCACCTTCAATTAAAAATTGTTTTAGTAATTGATCTCTTCGATAATCAGATTTTTTTCTAAAATTGGAGCTAGCCCGAGTTTCAATGTATTAGGATTTTTTCCACTATTTATTTCTAAGTCTATATTTCCGTCGTTTGTGATTATACTTTCAAGGTACATAAATTGCATTATTTTAAGTTATGTTTTGGTGCATTTTATATTTGCAGACAATTATTGAAATACACATTTGATTAATAGATAATAAAAACATTCTAAAGTAATACTGACTACAAACCTCCATAATGCTCTTCGCATAATCTTCGGCTCTTTGCCAAGATCCTAAGCTTACATCTGGTTCAAATGGTATATTGCCTATAAAAAAGAATATAAGCATAGATGATATATTTTATATATAATTAATTTATACAGGTGTCCGTTATATATTTCTGTAAAGTATAAAATTTGGAAACATAAAGAACAAGTACAAAAAAAACTTACAAAGAAGTCAAAACTTCTGTGGTATAATGGTATAGTATTTAATTAAAAAATAATCAACATTCATCCAAATGGATTACAATTATTCCAAAACGTTTTCGCTCCAGTCGGTCCATCATAAGTAAAACATTTTGAAAAGTAGTTAAAACTAGCTATAACCCAGGCTGTGGGGAGAAAAAGGGTGATTTTACACTGTAATCCAGGAATTTATGTAATGTGGCCTAGGTAAAAAGAAACCTCAGGAGCAATCCCACAGTTCATTCAACAAAAAAATGTTGGTTATTGTTTATTTATGAGCGTTTATAGGTGCAAAATATGTACGTATTTTTTGAGTTTTTTTTATTTTTTGCCTAAAGTAAGTGTTATAATGGGTAATTCTGTATAGATTATGAAAGTACTCTAAAAGACCTTCAATTTGAGCCGGTATACGTTAATTTAATTTATTTGTTATTGCAAAAATGACGAATAAAGGTCAAAATTAAAAAACATAATATTTTATTTCAAATATATTACATTCATGCCTATAAAACTGCGAATCGAATGAGCCGTAGTAGGCCTAGATGGCTTAATTTGTTGCTGAGATACGTTAATTAGTTTATCCCACGACCTTCTGCTGTAATTAATAAAGCCTCTGTGATTAAAAAAAAAACTTTTTTTAATCTTCGTCTCAAAGCCATCTACAATAAACTGCAATTTAGAAATTTGTAGGGTACATAGGGGGCACTGCAGCTCTAAATCTTTATAACTGCAATTTTAACAACTTCATAAATAATTGTTTTTAACGAGTTAAAAATTATTTTTTGTCGGTCAGATAGCCAAGCGGGCTGGGCGGCCGGATTCTCACTCGCTTCACTGCGACTGGTTCAGCGGATGTGAGTTCGAGTGACTCGACACTGAGGATGTAGGCAGATTGAGACCTCAGTGCCGAGAGAGCAGTTCTTGTATTTATAATACAGAACACGATACTGGTACGTTTCGAGTGAGAAGAAGTAGGCAGATTGAGACCCCGAACTCGAACCGAACCGTATCCCTCTTGATCATGGCTCCAAAATGGGAGCCGAAACGTCGAGCATTAAATTCTCAACGCGGTTCTTCTCGAGAACCTAATGATTTTCATTTATCTGACCGCGGAAATCTATCAGAATATATACATATTATATATATATATATATATATATATATATTATATATATATATATATATATATATATATATATATATATATATATATAAATTATTTTTCATTATTTTCCAGTGGATTATTATGAAAATTTACGGAAATTTTAGGAAGAGAATGAAACAAGAATTAGCCCTCTAACCATTTTTTTTGGCAATCCTATGAGCATTCAAAGTTAAAGGTCGTGGGATAAACTAATTAACGTATCTCAGCAACAAATTAAGTGATTAAGTGATCTAGGCCTATTACGGCTCATTCGATTCGTAATTTTATAGGCTGAAATGTCATACATTTGAAATAAATAAAAAAGCAATTTTACAATAAATATTACGTTTTTTTAATTTTGACCTTCATTCGTCATTTTCGCAATAACAAATAAATTAAATGAAACCGATTCTTGATTTGAATTGTTGATTTGATTGAATTGATCCTTGATCAACTGAAAATAATTTCGAACTGCATCAATACCCTGCTAGGATATGGAATTTAAAAAAAACGGCTTTTAATGATGACTAAGGTTGTAAACTGGAATCGGAGAAAATACCATAAGGGAAAACTGATAGGCTCAGGACAGGTTTTGGCATGTGCTGATGCCAATGGATCCATATTGCCAACTCTGATACTCCACAAGGGCAAACGGTTATGGGACAATATGTTCGGTATAATTGAGTATCAAGTGACATCTTACTACGTATCCGAAATTGGTTTGATGACTGAAAAGTATTTTTTTATACTTAAAAAATTTTTGAATAATTGTCTTGAAAGGCCTGCTCTTTTAATTCACGATGGTCATTTATTGCACATTTCGCCTGAACTAATTGCGTTGGCTATGCCAGAATATATGATACTATTTTAAATTACCGCTATATAATTCTGCAATATTGCAGCCTTTAAATATGTCTATCTTCAAGTCTTTATAAGATGCTTTCTTAACAGATTGGCATCGCAAAAATTTAGGAAAACAACTAACAAAATGTGAATTTTCAACCTTTTTGGAAAAGCTTGACTCAGTATTTGAGAAGCTGTTCTAGTGAATGGCTGTAAAATAGTCATTTTTGCCCTTAATCGAGATTTCGTTTGCAAATAAACGTCAATCCTAAAAAGTTAAAACAATATTATGTAGAGAAAATCATTCCTAACAGTATCAATGACGACCAAACTCAAACTACGAATTCCATGTAAAATCTGTTGCAGCTCTACTAAAGAAAGCCAGAATTGCATTGCATCAACTTTCGTTACGAGAACGTTCTACTAGCAACAATAAGACTAGGAATTAAGTTGCATATATGTTTATGTTTAAAAATTATAAGTAACGAGCGAAATCGATCACTTATTAAATCATAAAAATAGGTCAGTATAAAGAAAAATTCGCCAAACGTTTAAAAAAGCATAAATGTAATTCGTTGTTAATTAAACCTTAACACAGCTTTTACTAGTTAACACTTACCTCGGCAACCTTCTGTTCCTAGAATAAATTTATCTGGATAGAAAGTATGAGTTAAATCTAAATCCAGAGTTGGAGAAATTGAGTCCAAATACCAATGAACCCCAATTCCGTCAATATACTGTTTTGCTCCGGGTTTAAACAGAAACATCTAAAATAATATATTGACTGAAAGTACAATATGCGTACACTTGACCGAACGCCGACCAGCAATGGAATGCACCATGATACTATGAACTAAAGATAAACCCACGCGCACGCGATCAGTCTATCTCTTTTGCACGTGTGACGTCACTTGGCGACAAATATCACCAGAAATGTTTTGTTTTGCATGGAGTTTTGTCAGATTTAGTATTGTTTTTATCGTTTATCTAGTAAGTTTGACAAATAAATGTCTGCGTTTTTGATAAAATATATTTCAGAATATTAAATTAAAGATAAAGTTTTATCACCAATTGACGTCATGGCGCATCGACGTACAAAATTCGATTGCGAAGTGGTTTTATTTGGAAGTCATAGTATCATGGGAATGCACGGTTACAGCTATCGAGCAAAAAGACAAGAGGGAATGTAAAGGTAGTGGGAGCAAAAATATTGTTAGGCAGGAAGTGTCATCTTGAGAGGCCACATTAAACAAGGAAAGAGACTCTTTCCTTGTTTAAGAAATATCATATTTAGTTTTTTTTAGACTTTTATCACCAATTGACGTCATGGCGCATCGACGTACAAAATTCAATTGCGAAGTGGTTTTATCTTGGAAGTCATAGTATCATGGGAATTCACGGTTACAGCTATCGAGCAAAAAGACAAAAGAGGAATGTAAAGGTAGTGGGAGCAAAAATATTGTTAGGCAGGAAGTGTCATCTTGAGAGGCCACATTAAACAAGGAAAGAGACTCTTTCCTTGTTTAAGAAATCATATTTAGTTGGGCATTCGTACTCCGACTGTTGCTAGTAAAGTCGTCTATCATACGCTAAACAAAGTGACATCGGTGTTTGTAGGTTATTTGGTTCACATTAATAGTTATAAGTATATTAAGTTTGTGTTTAAAAGGAAAACTACTGTACGTAAATTTTGATTTTTTAAATATTTCTACCCCGGACCAATGTCCGGGGAAAACAACTCATCCACCAGCGGCAAGGGGCCGCCGAATTGGTAAATTTAATAAAGATAGTCGAGTTAACGTTCTTGTTGAGGATATCATTGTACATGAAGATATTGATATGAGTTCATGTATAAACAATAAAAATAATAATCAATTAAATGAATTAACTAGTACAGATACACACGACAAAAACTTGGAATCCGACAAAAACTCGTATTATGATAAACAACGTTTATTATATCAATTAACAAATAGATTTAAAACCTAACGATTTTGGGACCGTTTCATGTTTTTGTTGAACATTTAGAATTAAATATTGGGAAGATTACATCCAATGAAATTGGGTGAACAAGTTAATAAATCTAAAAGAGTATGATAAAAATATTATTGAAATTAGTACGGTTGGTCGCAAATGTATAAAAATCGAACTTAATTCGGCAGTATATGCCAATGAATTAGTTAAAGATCCATTCTTTGAAAAGAATAATTTACTGGCATATATTCCTGGTCATCTTATAGAAAAACGCGGGTTAGTCCGATCTTAGATACTTCCTACAGCGAGGAGGCCCTCCTAAAAATTAATTCTAGTGTACCTATCAAAAAAGTAAAACGCAATGACTAGAGTCATCCAAAAAGACAACAATATGGAACGTGTTCCTCGTCAAATGATCATTGTTTACGTTTTGAAGGAAAACTTATTCCTCAATATATTTATATAACAAAGTTAGATGCACTGTAGAAACTTATATTAATCCAGTTATGCAATGTTTTCGTTGTCTCCGATAATGGCCATCCGGCTCACAGAGTAGGGGGAAAGAAAAGGTGTAGAAATTGTGGTTCAGGAAAATGAATCTGTGAGCGAACATGCAAAATTTATTTGTTGTTTTATTGCAAAAATAATAGTCACAAATCTACTTATAAGGAGTGTCCCTGAATTCAAAAAGCAAACTAGAGTCAAAGAAGCTATGTCTAATTTGAATATATCTTTCAAAGAAGCTGAAAAAATTATTAACAATCCGCCTATTCTAGCCTCATACAAAAAAATAAATTTGCCCCATTAATTGATTCGATATAGAATTTCCTGCTTTAAAAACTTCTACAGCACAACATCCTGTCCTAATACTTCTTCTAAATCGAACTTACGTCAACACATGGTCAACCATTCTCCTAAAC